TATAAATAGTGTGGCATCATCGGCACAGTGTGGAGCACCATTCTGGGGCACACCAAGACCTCAAGTGTTGAGGGCTCTCCTGTCCGTGGAATGTCACAGGAGTCGGCAAGTTGAGAATGACAGGGGCTTGGCACAGCCTGGAACACAGTAAGCATTGTTATCCTCTGTACCTTAGGCACTGTTGTTATTTCCTAAAGACACTTATTTATGCTTAATTCCTCCCCAGTGGATTAGAAATGCTCACGTATAGACATGTAGTAAACCAAGATTTTTCTTTCCAGTGAAAGTATGAATTGGAGAAAGGAAGTTGGAGCTAAAGAAAAGATGAAGTAAGGGCTCAGGTTCATATGAGTTTATTCATTTTTCCTTTATGAAAGTTTTGGTAGTTTTATTCTTGAGTTTCCTGATAGCCAGTGGAAAGAGAGAAACATCATCAGTCATGTAAGGTGGTGTCTGTAAAGACAAAACTATACTCTCCTGCTTGTTGAACCTGGAGACTGACRCTGCCTTGTGGGTCATCCGATTTGAGCCTGAGTCTCCTGCACTTGCACCTCTTGATTTCCCCATAGCTCCAATGTGTGAGTASCACACATTTAATCTCACTGACCCTTAGTTCCTGAATGATTCTGGATGCACATTGTAATCAGTTTCTTTTCTTTCTTTCTTTTGTACCCCCCCCCACACACACACACTTTCCCGGGATTGAACCCAGGAGTACTAACCACTGAGCAACATCTCTTTTTTATGTTTTATTTTCAGATAGTCTTGCTAAGTTGCTTAGGGTGTCACTAAGTTGCTGAGGCTGGCCTTGAACTCACAATCCTCCTGTCTCAGCCTCCTGAGCCACTGGGATTACAGGTGTGCACCACTGTACCCAGCTTATTTCCTTCTTTCTTTTCACTTTTTAAAAAAATTATTTATTTATTCTAATTTGTTATACATGACAGAATGCATTTCAATTCATAGTTCTCATGTAGAGCACATTTTTCATGTTTCTACTTGTACACAAAGTAGAGTCACATTATTCGTGTCTTCATACATATACTTAGGGTAATAATGATATCCCTCTCATTCCACCATCTTTCTTACCCCCATCCTCCCTCCTTCTCCCTCCCTCCCTTTTGCCCTATCTAAAGTTCCTCTATTTTCTTCTTTTATATCTATAATTTGATTTAGATTCCACCAAACTGCTTCCTTGTCCCTGGACCTACATTAGATTTTTTTTCTTTATTTGATTTTAAGTTTATAGTCAGTATAGAAAAAAACCTTCAAAAGGTGAAGAGGAGGTGAAGCAAAAGCTGAGAAGGAGAAGGAAAAAGTTTAATTGCAGAGCCTAACAATGCATTATGACTGAGTGTGTGACTGTTCTTAACAAGGCAGGCTTCACGAGCTGCAGGCTGTTTTTTAGTCACAGACGCTTATGGGACTCCTTTTATGTGTTGTGCATATGCAAGCAAAGAGGGCTTCGAATGTGCAGTGGGGAGTACTAGTGCTGTCTGTGCCTCCAACCACATGCAATCAATTTCTCCTGAGTCTGTCTCCCTAGCTGTAAAGTAGGGTGGATGGTTCCCAGCCTGGCCACCTCTTTTCACTGGTGGTGGTGATCATGTGTGTGCCCTAATGACTTAAGAAAGTGCTTTGGAAATCTTTCATCCCTGGGTACTAACAGTCTGGTTAAATGTACTGTTACTGCAGAAGAAGATAAGACATGGTCCCTGGGGCTAAAGGAATTTTCCAGCTGCATAAAGAGTGAGAAGTAGTGTGTGTGAATCAACAAGCAGTAAGAAGTGGGGTTTAGCATTGCAYGGTGAGGCACAGCCTAGTCTGATGGAAAGGCTGGCAAGTCCCTCGTGTTACGGAAGCCTACATGTTGGAAGAGTGGCTGAGACCGGTTTGGGGAATGATGATGAGCCCTAATCAGCAAAAAATGTCACCTCTATCAGTTGAAGGAATAAAATATTAGAATTTTTGAGTCATTAGGAAACATTATCCAGTCTGTGAAAGATGTCAAATAGCACTTACTTTTTAGAGATTTTTTTTTTTAAGTCTTCATTGTTAAGATATGGCCCTGGTGGAGTGAGGAGAGGGAGAGAGAGAAAAAGGGAGAGAGAGAGAGAGAGAGAGAATATACATTTTCAAAAGTGATTATTTAAATCAATTAGGTTTGAATTTCGGTTAGTCTAGATGAAAAATGGTTATTTTTGAGTAGCCTGTTGTTCACTGTGAAAATTGGCTTTCCTGTCTTGGAGCCTGGGGAGCTGCCCTATTCAGTGTGCTTCTTAGGTTTTTCATGGAAACGAAACCCATAGGCCTTTATCTAGTTAGAGCTGAGCTGAGCTGAAAGTCTGCTGTCTGAGCTTTAGGCTGTGTGGGCTAGATCTGGTATTCAGATCCCAGGGAGGGGTACTTATGATGTGGGGTGATCTCACTGGGGCATCCTTGTGGGCTTCAGAGCCTCACTGCCTCAGCACCCTGGTCCCGGTGAGTGTGAACCCTAGACCACCTCTCTAATGTGATTTCCTATGGGCAGTGGAGGGCTGCCTCTTCTTTTATGATAGTCTTCTGCTCCTGACCTGGTTATGTCTTCCTTTTGAAATGGCTACCCCATCTGGGAATTCTCTTCTCAGCCAGTGTTTCTACAGCCTGGGGCCTTCTTCCCCAGTCTACTTTCTCTCACTGCTGGGATCCACGTGTTTCTAYCTGTCAGATCCTGGGCACCATGTAGAGCCCTTACTCCATGGTGAGAATTAGATAGTCAGCCTGCCTTGTACCCCAGGAACCCTGGCCAGGCTTCCCCAGCTGTSTCTAGCAGCTTCCTGGGGCCCTGCAGCTGCAGCCCTGCTGTTCATATTATTAGTTGTAACAGGAATTGGAGGGGTCCAAATTCCAGTTGCCACTCCTTGAGGTCCTGATTAGGATTCAGATTCTTGGGGCTTTGGTTCCAAAAGCAAATGAGGAAAAGCATCACTTAGACATTCTGTTTTTCACCTTACAATTTAGGAGCCTCCAAATGTGACAGCCATGACCATAAAACCAAGCAAATTACCACTAGTCTGAAACTTTCCTCTCTCATGTAGATATTRGGATAGCCTGGAAACCTAACTTATTACAGCATGTCTCAGAAAAGCATGCAGAGTTCCAAACATTGGACTTAACAACAATCTGTATTAATAAGGACTACCTATATTTATGCTTTCAACTTATTAACAGTTACCATTAATAATGAATTGCCATAGATAAGCAATAAACTCGTTAATAAATCAAAGCATTCCTGTAAAGCATTAGYACAATCTCTGGCATATAGTAAACCTTCAGTAAATGTTGGCTATTGCTGTTAGCACCACCACCATCACCACTGGCATTTTTATGATGGAAAGAATCATATTCGCTACACTTAAGTTCATTTAAATGGTCCATTTAAAAACACAATGGCTGCAATTGATTCCAAAGAGAYGGAGGTAGCTCATTAATGCTAGAACACTTGGAAATGCTTGAATAACAGTGACAGGCACCCTTGCTGTAAGATAGACCCCATCCCAAATCAGCTTAGCTTTGAACCAGTAGCAGTGAGTTTAGTGAGGCGTAGTGTGTCTAACCACAAGTGGAGTGGAAGTGTGTTCATCTGCTCTTTCACTCAGAAAGCAAACATTTGTTGAGTTGCTTGCTGTATGCCAGATGCTATACTGTCCAGAAAAGGAAAAGACCCAGTTGCCACAGACACTCAATGGAGGCTTCCACGTCATGTAGGTGGGGTTTTCACATGGTTAGATGACCAGAGGGAAATGAGTCCAGGCTGCAGTAGCAAGGACAGTCCTAGAATTGCAACAGGATGTCCTGTGGTCACGGCGAGGAAGTTGTGTTGTCTTTACTTCTGAACCTTAAAGAGCATTGTAAAAATATAGCCAAACCCCTTTAGGCCCTTTGATCCTCAATAACTGGCTCTCTGAGCCAATGCACCCGTTGGCTGATACAGCGGCTCATCGTGGTGTGTGGAAGACGCCGCGCCCTCCAGGCTGCCGGGTTCTGAGTGCACTTTGGCACTCATACCCCCATTCGCCAGGCTCAGAGTCAGAGGCCAGGGCTGCGAAGATCCAAATAGAGAATGAGGAGACATGGCCCCTGTCCTCCAGGACACAAGCCAGYGTTAGGTCAACAGTGGGGCACGGTGAATGGCCCAGGTGACCTGTGGTTCAAGGGGATCCCGTACAGCTCTGCATCTGTAAATTAGGAGTGGCTGTTTGTAGAGGCTGTGTAGGGTGAGTATCATTTCTTTCTTTTATCATATCCCTCTGCTCGTTTGCCAAGATGTTTACAACCTCCACTCTCCCCTCCCCAGTGTGGGTTTTCTTAGAGGCTCAGTTGTGATTCTGCATTCATGGCACACATTCCTGTGCCAGCACTTCTGCACTGGTCATGGAGATTTTTCCATTCTGTGCCACTGAAGGAGCAAGTCAAGTCGGCCTCCCTGGATCATGTTGAACAGATGTTCTAAATGTTCATTTCAAGGATGAAATTGTCTGCTTGACTTTTTGTTTCTGTAGATTTTCTCCGGTGCCTTTTCTGCCCTCACTGTTGTATGGTGTGCCCCCCCCCCTTTCCTTCCCAGGAAATGCTCATTTGAATATAGGATACTTGGAGATTCAAAGGAATTTAATGAGATACAAGCAATTCATCTTGGTTACAGAGGGGGGATATATTATCTCCAAATTGCATAGATTTACTTTAAAGTTGCAGACACTTTTAGACAGCTTTTTCATTATCTTCCTATCAGAGTTTTTTTTTTTTTCCTTTCCTGTCGAGTGATGTAGCAGTTTATTTCCCCTGATAAACAACATTCTTTTAATTTACCAAAATACATTGTACGAAATATACTTTGATAAAAATCTGTGTGGACCGGAAAACTTTCCGTTGATCCTGGGGAGGGCAGTGTGTGTGTGTTAACTCTCAACAGCCCCAGTTGTGCCTGGCCTCCTTCAAAGTATTTTGATCTCTCATTTCAGCCACGATTACAAGTTCATCCGAAAACGATGACCGGAGTGGCTCCAGTTTGGAATGGAATAAGGATGGAAGCCTAAGGTTAGGGGTTCAGAAGGGAGTGCTTCATGATCGCAGGGCAGATAACTGCTCCCCAGTGGCAGAAGAGGAGACCACTGGGTCAGCGGAGAGCGTGCTGCCCAAAGCGGAATCCTCAGCTGGAGATGGTCCGGTCCCTTATTCTCAGAGCTCCAGCTCGCTAATAATGCCACGGCCCAACTCAGTTGCAGGTAAGGCCACGCCTCTCCCTGGAAGGGTTCTGCCGAGTCCGAGGAGCCCTGTGCTCACAGTCCTCGTAGGGGAGCCTCACCCAGATCGTGGGTCAGGCACTAGCTTCTCTAGGCCTCAGTTTACATATCTGCAAACATGATAAGGCTGTACTTAATGGTCTTCCGGTGGCCCTCTCACTCTGGAATTCTTTTTATCTTCAACTTGGACTGTCTGACTCTTTGTATGTTTCAGAAGAAAGTATACCTACTGTCCCTCGGTATTTGTTATTTTAAGCTTGGGTAAGCTCATGAGTCTGTTGTATCTTGGTAAACAGGAATCATTTAGAGTGTAGTTGTTAATGTCAGCTCAAAGGATCCCTAATCCAACTTTTAAAAGTCAAGCCTGTTGTATAGATAGGAGGTTGAATGTGTCTGTGTATTTCAGTTGTAACGGAGCTCATAGCTTAAGACACCCTCAGTGGCAGCCAGAGCAAGTTGGAGCAGCTGGGAGTCAGAGAGGAGAGAACAAATGGCAGTGCCAATGCACAGTTGGATTGGCAGTCTCTGGTCATCAGGCAAGAAGGAGAGTAGTCTGGGGCAGGTGGGGAGAGGCACTCTTCATCTAAGCCATTATGCCTGCTTTTGAAGGTCTTAGTCTCCACCTAATGCTCTTGGGCTGAATTTAGAAGAGGAACTTATTATGGTAATTCTTTGTTACTCTCCTAGCACTTAAAATGTCTCCTTTGCTAAAATGCATGGACCCAGATTCTCTCTTCCTACATCAAAGGATTTTTTCTGTAATTTATACTGCTCCTTTGGGATGTGCTAGGTCATTCTGGCTGCTGTTGGGTGTTTTTTATGATGGAACTCTGAAGCAGCTGGTAAATAAATGGCCCTAATGGAAAAGTTCTGAGGTACAACTCTAATTCACTTTCAAAGGAAGCAGAATGGCCTTGTTCCAGAAGAGGGATTTGGCGTGTCTGCCAGAGAGAAGTGCTAGGGAGCATTGTGTGTATTGACGGATGGTTCTTCTGAAAACTTCCCTGTGTTCTCACCAGCGTCCCACCCTTTAACATAATACACTGTACCCAAGGCATTTTAGGTCATATTTACCTAGTTATGATGAATGGATCACTTGTACTGTACCACAACTTTACAGTTTCATTTTCTTCAACAAATTAACAAACTTGTATTTGATATAATTGATCTTCTTAAGATTAGGAAACATTAATGCATTGGTATTAGTGATGTTAAAAGTGCCCCATTTGGGGTTACATTTTCTGTGGGATGTTCATGTGGACCTGCCATGTGAAGTGACAGAGGGTATGAGCTGAGCTTTATGGGAATCTGCCACCCTTATAGAGCAGATTTCTGATTTCTGCTATGCTCCTGCGTTAGCTTCCTTTTGCCCTTGAGGAGGATTTTACCTCTGGGTTTGATCAGAGGTTCTCTCATTTCTCCTGTATTGCATATTTTAAAAACTAAATGTATATTTTGGAAAGAACTAGGCAAGTGCTTTACCTCATGGTACCGGTTAATAAGCTAGAATTTGTACACCTTTCTTTTCCTAAAACTGAACCTCAGTTGAGAGGGAATGGCAAGATGCTCCAAATATGATGGAAAAGAATAAGATTCTTGAGTAGACTATATGCGGCACTGTTTGTTTTATTATGAGAAGGTAGACTGCTATAAACAGGGAACACTCAGTTTTGGACAGATTTTGAAATAAAATGTGAAGGGCCATACACTGGAATCACTTGAAAGTATTTGCATGCTCAGATCCATGTAAAAACAAGTAAATTGCAGTTTGGTAGAAAAGGTGTTTGGGGGATCGAGTAAGGACTGGAGAGTGATATGGGACCTGGCCCTGAGGTTGCCAGCCTTTACTGTCATTGAGCTTGCTCCAGGAACAGTGGTTATCTGTTAACTGTGTAGCACAAAAAAACTTTTGGGGGGGCTGGTGGGGAGTCAAAGAATGTAAAATTAAGTTGGCCAGGTTTGGGAGTTGTTCTGCTATGCAAAGATGTTCTTTTCAAAGGTTCTTTGTTAGAGTGGAATTGATTGGAAATGTCACATCAAATTGTATGACATGGATACTTTTTTACTTTATTAAAAAACAGGATGTTAAGCCTTTAAAGTTATATTTTAGATAACCTAGAAGTTGGATGATAGATTCTATTATTTTTGACTACTTTTTTTTCTTTTGAACTATTTTCTGTGTAGATCATAGGACACTGTGTTTAATTTTCTAGGAAACCAATAAACACGATCACCATTTGAATTCCAATTTCCTTCAAACACTGACTGGTTATTTCCCTGGATTACTGACATTTACCTTTGATAGATTAATCCACAACTTACAGTTTTAGCAGATGTTGTTCTTTGTTCCGCTTAGAGGAGTCTTCCTTCTTTCACACTCTCTCCACCCCGCAACACTACCTCTTCCCTGCAGCATCTTGAAATGTGCTTCTCATCCAGATGTTAGTGTGTACACACACGCGCCAAGGCGAATAACTGATTTAATCATAGAGATATTAGCAGCACATTTTTGTAGCATGAAATTATTGCTTTACCTCTGATTCTTCTTGGTCCTGAATAGTTTTTTAGGATGGTGAAAGCCTTTATTGTTAATATTGAATGTGAGTCTGACTCTTACCCTGGGAATGTCTGAGAATCCAGCCTGGGTGTGTGAGAAGGCAGGACAGTCCAGTTGCCTGCTCTGCTGGGTAGGGACACCTGTGCACATGGGCAAAGCAGCTGGAGCTTCACTGCTTCTACTCTCAGGTGTCTCTGTGGCTCTGAAAGCACCTTAGAAGATAGAGGTAGCTGCAGCTTGTGGCTTGCAGCCCTAATGCCACTTTCAACTTGTCTTAATCTCCTTTGAAGGGGAATGTGGGCCAATCTTGGTGGAGGTGCTAAGGCTGCTTTGTTGTGCACTTTGGAGCTGATGTGCTGGTGACTAGGCACCTGGGATCTCGCAGTGTCTTGCATCCATATCAAACAAGGGCTTCTCTTTGTAGTTCTTTATTTGGAATGTCTTCATAGTCACCTACTTTTAATTCCTTTCATTGTCATGAAATTACTAACTGAGTGTTCTGTTAAGGGGTTGGGGAAAGAGGGAAAACAGGAAACCCTCTCGGGCTGTAGGGGTCTTTGTATTATTCGGGCTGAAGTAGCTTGTAGGACATTGGTGGCTGTCCTGGCCCTGAAGCAAGCTACAGGCTATGGCTGTGATGGCCCTTTCTGCCTAGAGGAAGATCAGTCCCAGGTCACAGGCAGGAGCCTAGAAACATGTACCTGTATGTGCCTGTAGGGACCCTGGAGAGATGAGGACTTTGGAGGGGTGGGGGTAGTTCTGTTGCCTCTCCAGGAAGTTTCACTTGCCCGGGTTATACAGGACCTGGGGGGAGCTCAAGGCTGCCATTGGATTACTCTACCTGAGGTCTGTTTGGAAGTCCTACATAGAAATTAGCAAGTCTCTAATGGGAGAGATTTGCTTGACCCTGGCTCTGTGCAGAGTATTCACTTAAATGTTCATACAGTTTTTTAATTAGGCTGTGGATGTGCACCAAAAAGGTGCAGAGCGTAAATGTATGCTGTTATGAAGGCAGATTTCGGGTGTTTCTCTGCTGAATGGGAAGGTGAGTAGGTAGGGCATATGCTTCATGACCCTCTGAGGATGTGATGAGAGGGGACCAGGCATCACAGAGTTAGTCCTAGAACCCCCCAGGTGCTTGTCAGWTGAAAGAAAAGGACGGCATGGTGTGGACAGTGAGGGGAAAAAAGGACAGAAACCTTAGGAAGGAGAATAGGAAGAGCTTAGGATAGATGGTGCTGGGGGGCAGCTGGATGTGGGGTGAGAGCCTATAGGGTCACCAGAAGGTGTTCAAAAGACAGCCCACCTGACAGTCCCTGGCTGCCTGCTCTCACTAATGCCTTCACAGGCCTTAGAAGCCTTAGCCTTTGAACTGCAGCGCTCTCTGGTCACCTTTTTTTGCTCTGAAATTATGTGTGTATTTTATTATTCTGGAGAATAATCATATGCTAAAGATTGGCAGTACCTAATATTGGACCATTTCATCCATAAACCAAATTAGATTCACTTTATTTCTCTCATTTTGACCTAGAATGTATATGTAAATAAGTTTTTTGATATTTTTAAGACACAAACATGTATATTTGTTTCTAAGATTTACTGAGAATCAGCAAAATTATTTCACACTAGTTATTTTTATAATCCATCTAACTTGTGTGTATGTGTTAATGACTCTTATTTAAGTTTTTTAACTGGTGTTTGTATGCTATGAATCTTATTGGTTTGGTCAGAAGTAAATATGACTACTTATTTCTATAATTTTAAAAAAGATACATCTATCTAATATATTTTATAATAGATTAAAATATATATGTATTTGGGCTGGAGTTGTTGCCTAGCATGTGTGAGGCCCTGGGTTCAATCCTCAGCACCACATAAAAATAAATAAATAAAATAAACGTATTGTATTCCAACTATAACTAATATATATATAAGCTTAAGAAAGTATATGTACTTTTACTGTCAAGAGCTGACTTTAGTATTCCAAATATAGTGGAATTATACATGCAGAAATATGTTTATTTAAACAACAAGGTTGGAATCCCAAACAGCAGCACGCTCCCCAGAACTGAAGAGAAGAATCTAGTGCCATGCCACGTGTTGATAGTAAGTACTGAAGCTTTACTGAGTGGTGCTTGAGTGTCAAGTTTCTTCATAAAAAAATTTATGGTGAAGTCTGTCTCTTTGCAGGAATAATGGAGAATTCTGGCAACCAAATCACTATAACTTTGATTTAAGAGTAGTGCTTGGGTTTTACCACTTTTCAATTAAGAGTATCTCTAGGAAAATAAACCAGAGCAAAGAAATATCCTTAAAAATATATTTGGTTGAAAGTCTGAACTGAATTGCTTAGTAATTTATAACTTAAAGTAGTTTAGGTACAACATTAAACTTGGCATTAAACTAAACTTCAATTTAATATTACAGCCACAAGCTCTACCAAATTGGAAGACCTGAGTTATTTAGACGGGCAGAGAAATGCTCCTCTACGGACTTCAATTAGGTTACCGTGGCACAATACGGCTGGAGGTAGGGCACAGGAAGTTAAAGGTATTTATCCTTGCATCTGATATCACAGTGGATATGATGAGCTCATTCTCTGATAACCAGCAATGCAACTACCCAGATTTAAAACATGCTGTGAATTGTGTGTGTAAATGCTATAAAGTATCTATAAGCTATGCTAGGAGGCCCTCCTTAATAGTTTGGGCTTCTTCTTTGAAATTCATGATTAAATTGCTTCTGGGTTTAGAAAAGAATTCTACAGTGTTATTTGGAAGTGAAGGGTAATTTGGCACTCATTAGGTTTTCTGCTAACAGAGAATCAGTTTTGTTTCAGCTCTGTGGGCCATGTCAGCCACATCCTCTGTCTCCCTATATCATACAGTGGTGTGGTCAGCAGCCTCATCATGTGTGCAAAGCGCCATCATACCCAGATGAGAGCTGTGGCCTGCTGTGTAGGAAAATGTGTCTGCATTTTACTCATGAATGAGGTAGAAGAAACCTGACTTACATATGGTTGCAGATAAACCAGAGAGACATGGTTTGGCCCCTTGTATTGCTTTCTCTGTGTCTGCCTTGAGTCATGAGAATAATGGAGGTACGAGAGGACCACAAATCATTTTAATAAGAGACTGTGTGGGACCCATAGGGTATAATAAGTGAGATATTACAGAAGAATTAATAAGCTCAGTTTATAATTACTTAAAGACACATAAGCAATAATATCAATTTCTTAATGTATAAAATTGACATATTTTTCTAAAAAAAAAAAAATTATTTTTTTAAAGCACGATTTGCTCCCTACAAGCCACAAGACATTTTGTTGAAACCCCTGCTGTTTGAAGTCCCAAGCATCACAACAGACTCCGTGTTTGTGGGAAGGGATTGGCTCTTTCACCAGATTGAAGAAAACTTGAGGAACACAGAGCTGGCAGAAAATAGAGGAGCAGTGGTTGTTGGAAATGTGGGATTTGGGAAGACGGCAATCATTTCCAAGTTGGTGGCGCTGAGCTGCCATGGGAGCCGCATGAGGCAGATTGCGTCCAACAGCCCCAGTTCATCACCTAAAAGTATGTCCATGTTTAAGTACTTGTCTCTAGTTTGTTTTATTAATATAAAATAGAGAAAGGAAACTGCTGTTTGAGTAGACATAAATTACCAGTTTTCCTTAAGTTGTTCCAGCAACTCCATCAGGTTTGCGATCATATGTTAAGTGAACTATCTGAATACTTCCATCTGTCAGTGTGTGTCTTTAGCTACAGCCTAAGTTGCCTTCCCTGATGTCCTTCTGACCTGGAACCCATTTCTGTCTTTATACAAGCAAGCAGAGATGGGGCAGGGAGGCCTGGTCAAGTTCCCTGGGGAGGTTCGGATCCTAAAAATCAAGGGGTTGGGCTCCTTGAAAAACAATGCAGAATTATTTTGCATCCTGTTCACGAAAGCCTTTGTTTTCTATGCTGGATTTACAAGAATTATTAAGACTAAGTTGTGAGAGAGAGTAGCCAAATATTTGACTATTTCCTGCTTATTTTATGTGCAGTAAGCCCATTACAAAGAAAGTGTTTTTAAATATTGTAAACAAGAACAAGGGAGTTCTTGAGAGAGTGAGTTTGTTTGTTTGTTTGTTTGTTTGTTTGTTTGTTTTAAGACTAAAAGAATTTAATAAGGGATGCCAGGTGTGGTGGCACATGCCTAAAATCCCAGCGAATCTGGAGGCTGAGACAGTTCTGGGCCAGCCTCAGCAACTTGGGGAAGCCCTAAGTAGCTTAGTGAGACCTTGTCTCAAAATTTAAAAAATAAATAAATAAAAGGGCTGAGGATGTAGCTCAGTGGTAAAGCACCCCTGGTTTCAAACCCAGTACCAAAAGGAAAAAAAATGAATTTAATAAGGGAAACTGGAAACGATAGTTCTTTGGGTAGGGGACTTGGTCATGGGAGATGGGTAGGGGGCTGGTATGCTCATTCAGTCTCCACATTTTGGCCATGTTCACTCATTATTGTTTTAAACACTCTCTGGGACCAATCAAGACTTCTAGTCCATATTCCATCGCACATGTGTGCTGATATTATAATGAGGTGGATTCTTTTCTAGCAGCAGATCCCACCCAGGACCTTCCTTTCACTCCATTGCTTTCACCGAGTTCTTCTACAAGTGGCCTCAATACTACCAAAACACCTTCAGGGCCTGGTACTTCTGAAAACCAGAGACCGAGAGAGGAGGCGGTGAAATACCTGGCTTCTAAGGTAACCTGCTCTTGTTTTATGAGAACCCTCCAGATACAGATTTGCTAGTTTGGTTTCTGAGAAATAAATTAGAAAAGGGATCTTAAAACAGCAATAATTGCTTGAGCTTAGCCTTTAATAGAATTGTGAGAGAGTACTCAAAAGTTATTCATGAAAATAAATACCTAAGGATGCTTGCAGTGTACTTTAATCTATCTAAAATAGTATATCGGAAGAGTTCCTCAAAGCATCAGGAGAGATTCTGTGTGCTGACCTCAAATCCATCCTTAAAAGCACATGTCCTCTTTAATTTGCTCTGTGAGCAGGAGATGGGGAACTTTTAGCTTGACCCAGACTTCTTTCACCTGATCTCTGTTGCCTGGGGCCTTTGGTTCCCTACAATATCACAAGAAAACTTCTGTTGAAGTTTTCTTGTGATATTGTAAAAGAAACTTGGCTGACTTCCTCTTCCTGGATACATGGTCATCAAGGATCTTCTGCAATTTTCCTTCTGCTCCACATGCATCCTGGTTCGTGAGCTGCCTCTGGACCTTAGAGTGGTTGTATTTCTTGCCCTGATGAGCTGCTTAGGTCTCCCTTGGGAGCAGTGGTGTGAGGTGGTAGAGCTAGACAACCACCAACTATGGCAGTCATGAGGGGCATCTCATGAGGATACCCCTGRGGATGAGGTTGGTGCAGGGATTAAAACAGATGCTTCTCAGCCCCAGATTCCCTCCCATCTCATCTGCTTCTCAGGTGACAGCTGGTCAGCCCTAATGGCTCTGAACACTAGTTCACAACCATCCTCTGGTCATGAACAGGTGATCTGAGATGAGGCTTGTGGTGCAGACTTCAAAGCTACTGCTGCTACTGTGATTTTTTTTTAAAACCCCTTTGATCATAGCCCAACTGAGAAATACATCTTATACTAGAGATCCAGTACTCGTGCAAATACAATCACACACATAGCAGAAGCAAAAGCATTACCAGTCAAAGCTCATTTTTATATCCTATAATGTACTCTGGTAATTTAAATTCACTTTATTAACCTAAAAAAACTAGGCTGTTTGTGACCCCAAATTGATTTCATGTCCTACTCTTGGGCTGCAAATTGCTTTTGACAAACACTATACAAGGCTGAGTTATCTGGTATCCTTCGGTGGTTTGCACACACTCATAGGGTCCTCACTTATGTTTCTGCTGATCTCTGTCCAGGTAAGAGCTGAAGAGCAGTCTCAGCTTTCTTCTAGATGTCAATGATATATTTAATCTAAACCAGAAGTTACCCAGTGATTCCAGATTGACCTGAGAAGAGCTGGTCTATGTCTACTCTTTAGTTTCTAAGAGTTCACGGCCTTGGTGTCTCATCCTCAATCTTTGGCTGGCCCTGTTACCTTGGCAGGGCATTTAACCTCTGTTCCTGTTGTCCTCAGCTGTAGGCTGACAGTTCTGAGCCTTCTTGCTGCAGGGCTTTGCAGAGCTGAGCAGGCTGGTGGTGACTCAGGCTCTTCTGAGAAACTGCACTTTACACAAGGATTTGGCTCTTTTTCCCCTTCCCTAACTCATACCTACATGCTTCTTTTTCTCTACATACAGTATGCCTACTATTCCCAGTCCTGCCTGTGGCACTTTGTTTGGGGTCTAACAAATAACTTGGATCCATATGACAAAGGGTCACTCCTCAACCTGTAGATATTTAGGCAGCTCCTTCTCTCCTTCCATGTGCCCCTTTCACATGCCAGGCAGAAACCCATAACTTGTGATTTTTCACCCTTCCGAGTCCCTGTTGAATCTGTGCAGTGGTCCCCTGAAGAAGTGTGGGTTTGGGGAGGTGTCTGAGAGCTTGAGCCCCTCCCACCAGGAGGAAGAAGCAGCTGACTTTGCAGCACGGGTTTCAGGGCCATCAACTTGATCATCTGCTTTTTGAGGTCAGCAGAGGGTTCCCTAAAGAGGGACTCCTGTTTCTGAGGAAATCCAGTGCTGATTGCAATGCCAAGAACATCAGGGTTGCTTGTGGGATTCCTCTACGCTAGGGAAGGTTGTATACATAATTTTAATTAGCTTATATTTAGTACAGAGTTAGTTTTGCTGATTTTTGTGCTAATCAAGATGAATTTGTGGCTGCAATCAAAGGTCTGCTGAGAACTTAGTCAACCACATGATGGAAAGAGTAAACAAATCAATTAAACTAACAAATGACTCCAATCTTTGGGAATAGAAGCGGTGTAGCTTGTTATCCTGTTAAACAGGCCGAGTTGTGTTCTTTGAGGTTTTGGAAGGTGCTCTGTGGAGAGACTGGGGTGATGCTGACAGCTCTGCTTTGCCCACAGGTGGTGGCTTACCACTACTGCCAGGCTGACAACACGTACACATGCCTGGTGCCTGAGTTTGTGCACAGCATTGCCGCTTTGCTCTGCCGGTCCCATCAACTGGCTGCCTACAGAGACCTTCTGATAAAGGAACCTCAGCTGCAGAGTATGCTGAGCCTCAGATCCTGTGTGCAGGACCCCGTGGCTGCTTTCAAGAGGGGAGTGCTGGAGCCGCTCACCAGCCTGAGAAATGGTACCTCTCTGCAGACCCCAGTGCTCCTGTCCCCAGTACTAGTACAAGATGCCTGGGTGGTCCTCAGAAGGAAGAGGGTCAGCTGAGCTCTGGGGTGGCAGAGAGGATGTAGATGAATCAGTGCACATCTGGTCCCCTCCTCAGAACCAGACTCTCCCTGGGGTCCCTCCACACCCTTCGGTGGGATAGTTTTCAATGTAAGATCTCTAATAAGAATGAGCTCTCCAATTGAACAGTTGCCAAGAAGCCAGTTTCTAACTGTTGGGGACAGGAGCCATTCTTTCGACCCTCTGAAGGTTTGATATTTTGGTCTATGAAATGAACTGACAGTAGACAGATTAACAGGAGGAAAAAACAAGTGAGTTAATTAATGCATGCAGTGCATGCTATGTGGGGGGAACCTCCATGAAAGGGAACTCAAAGCAGGGACTTCAAGGCTCTGGCTTCTTTGGGATCTTCAATAAAGAACAATGAGTTTTAGAGAAGAAGCAGGATAAAGGGAAACAGTTTTAGGCTTCTGGAGGTGAAAATATTGTGAAGGTAAGCAGGAAACTAATGGTGGAGAAGGGCTGGTTGGTAAGGTTGTTTCATAGATTCCTCTGGTGCTGTCTCTAGCTGATGAGGGTCTGCACTTGTGATTAACTTCAGTTCTTCTTATTGAAACAGGTAGGGGGTCACCTTTACAAATTTATGTCCTGATTTTAGGCTACAAGGTCAGGCAGAGAGCTTTTCTACACCTGCTTCTTGTCTTGAGCTCAGTTGTCCTTCCAGTCTCAGGGAGGTGTGTTCTGGTCTCTCATGTAACTCTAAGCAATTTAGATTCCTTGCTCCTTGAAGTCTTGCCTACATATTTTGGACTGCTTTGGAGCAGGGGAATGGGTAGACCATTTGGGGAATTTTCTAACATATTTTTTTCTTTCAGGAGCCCTGCTCATTTGAGTCAAAATCTAAAGCTAATTCTAGAGGCTTCTATTTGGATTTTTTGCCTTCCCCCAAATATTCTTTAAAGAAAGGGATGCTGGTGACAGTGTGGGCACATCAGGTTTCCATCTTTCCTCCCCTTTGCTCCTTACCACGTGAGCTGGTTACCTGCCTACATAGCACTTCTGCCAGAAGGTGCCAGAGAGAGGGATCGAGACTGATAGGCCATTGTTTCTTCATTCCCTGGGCAGAAAGCTGGCACTAATAAGTGTAAAACCAGACAGACTTGCAAGAAAGAGTCCTACTCTAGATATCTATAAGGTAGAGCTCTCACCACCTAGGGCTTGGGTGGAAGAGTTAGCCCTTGGTGGGGCAGGTCATTTTTCCTTGCTTAGAATCCCTGAGGAGTTCTAATAGAGGACCCTACTGTTTTTTTCATATTTAGTCCCTGTGTGTTATCTTTGCTGTAGACCACCCTAGTGGTACCAGTTTGTGAAGAGCTAACTGTATTATATACATGATTGAGATTCTGCTAATGTGTGTAATGCAATATGTTTCTGAAAACTGTTTTGTGAGAATTGATTTTCTTTTGGCTCTGTGCTCTGGTTTTCATTATAAATTTAATAGAAAATATGCTTCTGCAAAATCCATGTCTTCTGCCATATGTAAACCTTTTTTATTTTTTCTAACACTTTAAACTGTGCATTAAAATACGCTGGGTGGTACAATATTATAGAAATGTATAATTGCTAAATTTGAAAAATTATTTTATCCTTTAGAGCAGAAAATTCCTGAAGAAGAATACATTATTTTGATAGATGGCTTAAATGAAGCTGAGTTTCATAAACCTGATTATGGAGATACACTTTCTTCATTTATTACCAAAATTATTTCTAAATTTCCTGCCTGGTTGAAGTTGATTGTGACTGTAAGAGCAAATTTTCAGGTAATAAAAGAATTCTCAATTCTCTTTATAATCCCCGTATCCCAGCTGTATAGTGATAAATACTAATAATATAAACTGTTGTAAACCATTTCACTGCTGAATTGAAAACCTATGTCAGGACATTGGAAAGTCAGCCCAAAGAGCCCTAAATGGGCAAAACACTGACCATCGTAGCCTCTGAGGCATATTTATCAAGATAACAGGTAAGTGTCCTACCAGTATTGACTGGTACTTGCCCTGCTTAAATGGCAGTATCCAGTTCCACTTTATTGTAATTTAGAGTATGGGGTTGCCTGAGGTTTCTGGCTACCTGGTCAACTAGAGCAGTTCCTACTAGCAGTTATTTCCATGGGTTTACAGTAGGGCTTTGTGGGATCTGTTTGGTTTGCAGTGCTGGGGATCAAGCCAGGGCCTCATGCATGCTGAGTACATGCTCTACCACTGAGCTGCACCTCCGACTGCACCTCCGACTCCACCTTCCTTTCTTTGAAGGAAAAATTAGGTATAAAAGAGACATTAAGGCCTATTCTGAGAGATCTGTACTTTATACAGCTTTGACATGCAGCCTTGCAATAAGGTGAAAAGTGGGTTTTTTTGTTGTTGTTCTTTTTCTATCTTCCCCTTCATTTGCGCTCATTCATTTTACATTAACAATTGACTATACTATACCATCTTCAATAAAGATATGTAGAAAACAGATTTTGACTTTTGCCATTTTTTAACAATATCTATTTAAAAATAGCATTTGGGTTATTCGTTTTTTTTTTCTTGTTAAAACTTGTATTGGGGGCTAGGGTAGTGGCTCATCGGTAGAGTGCTCGCCTAGCACATGCGAGGTGCTGGGTTTGATCCTAGCATCACATAAAAATAAATAAACAAAGGTATTTTTTAAAAAAAACTTGGATTGGATCTCAAAACACTTGATTTTTGTTGTTGTTGTTGTTAACTTTTTGGTTTTTGCAGTACCAGGGATTAAGCTGAGGGCTTCACACATGGTAGGTCAGCTCTCTGCCACCCAGCTATACCCCAAGCCCTTTTTATTTTGTTTTGTGACAAGGTCTCACTAAGTTGCCTATACTGGCTTCAGTTTGGCCATTCTCTTGCCTCAGGCTCCTAAGTAACTGAGATTACAGGTGTGCATCATGTCTGGCTTCATGTTTATTTTTGTGAACCTTTGATTCTTGTGCTTTTCAGTCATTTTTACTCAGCATAGCTTAGGGGTACTTGGCACAGAAATGGGACTTGTGTTTTACTTCCTGGCTGTGTGAGTTTTCTGAGATTCAGTTAGCATTCATGTAAGATGGAAATTATTATACTCTGCCCTCTCCCTACAATTACCAATCTAGAGAAGGACACATGCTTAAATACTTCAGAAGTGAGGGTGGGAAGTTAAAAAAAAATGTAACAGGTAAAAGTCCTCCCTACTGTTAGATGTTAGGCTTGTGCTTATATTTGGAATGAGGGAGACAGGGATTATGGGCTTGCCAGAACTGGTGGCGATGTTTTTGGCTACTGGGTACACAGGTGTATTTGTCTTTGTGAAAATTAATGATACTGTGCAATTAGGATTTTTGTACCAATATATGTATATCATAGTTCAACTTATAGTTCAACTTAAAGTTTACTTAATTATCAATTTTTAAAAAATGACATGCCATATTGAAGCAATCAGCTTTTTTACTATGTGCTGTCAAGGGATATGGATTGGGGGCAGCCTCAGATTTCCTGATTGGGTTCCATAGTCCCAGGACCTGATGCACACGTAGGGATGCCTCTTTTCTCAGGGGCTGGCTGTGTTCATAGACATGCAGTGTTAGTTTGTTTTATCCATGTTACATAACCAATTGCACAGCATAAGGATTATGGGTATCAGATTACCTGCAGGGTCTCAGTGCCCCGCTAGGTAGAGGCTTGGTTGCCCTGTCTGTTCAGAGCTTTTTTCTCTCCTTACTTGGCTCCAAGTCCTTGATGTGAGCCTTGGGAAAGCCTTTACTGATTCTATCTCGCATCAGGATTTCTTTCACATAAGCTTTTTATCTGTACCTTATCCTATTACACGTTTTAATACAAAACAATGAGTCCCTGTAATCCATGAAAATCCTCCTTGAAAGAAAACTAGTGAACCTGGTTTAAAATGCAGCTGAAATAAAAAAAAGGAACCTCTGTGGAGCAACACTGTGGGTTTTTGTCTTTTTGCAGGAAATCATAAGTGCACTGCCATTTGTCAAGCTTTCCTTAGATGACTTCCCAGACAACAAAGACATTCACAGCGACCTGCACGCCTACGTGCAGCACCGAGTGCACAGCAGCCAGGACATCCTCAGCAACATCTCCCTGAATGGCAAAGCAGATGCTGCGCTCATCGGGAAGGTCAGCAGCCACCTGGTGCTGCGGAGCCTCGGCTCCTACCTGTACCTCAAACTCACCCTGGACCTCTTCCAGAGGGGACACCTGGTCATTAAAAGCGCCAGCTACAAGGTGGTGCCCGTGTCTCTGTCCGAGCTCTATTTGCTGCAGTGCAATATGAAGTTCATGACCCAGTCAGCCTTTGAGAGAGCACTTCCGATTTTAAACGTGGCCCTTGCGTCCCTCCACCCCATGACGGATGAGCAGATTTTTCAGGCTATTAATGCCGGCCACATCCAAGGCGAGCAGGGCTGGGAAGACTTTCAGCAGAGGATGGATGCCCTCTCCTGCTTCCTCATTAAGAGGAGGGATAAAACGCGCATGTTCTGCCACCCATCCTTCAGGGAGTGGCTGGTCTGGAGAGCAGATGGCGAGAGCACAGCCTTCCTGTGTGAGCCCAGGTATGCAGGCCACTTAGCCATACTCTGCAGGGAGCCCTGTGCCCTCRGGAGAAGGATTTCCACTCTGATCCATGGTTTTTAGTGGAAAAGCAACCCAGAATGAATAATTCAGTTTTGTTGCTTTGTTTTCTGCCCTTTGGGCAGAAGGAGGGGGCTGTGGAAAATTCTCTCCATGTCTGTACAAAAGCCTTTGACTACTGGAATTTCAGGACTCTGGTATTTTGGTTGGAAGAGAAGCTGGGCAGCGCCTGGGTGAGATTTGCTGCCAGTTGTCTAACAGATCCCCATCTCCTCCCCCCTCCCAACTTCAGCAAGGTCACATGTGGGGCATGGGACCTCCACTCCAGGAATAGTGGGCATCTCCAGGAGTGCTCATCTCTGGGTCTAGGGCTCCTTTTTGGATTTCCAGCACTRCCACTTCCCTGCTACCTCTTGAGCATGTGACACCTTGTGTCTGTGTTCCTGAAAGGGGCCCTATAATCCAGCCTGCCCACCTCATTCTGTGTGAGTGGTTCAATGTGGGTCAGGCTTCCTGATGCTGGAGGKTGAATTGGGGAGGCAAGGCTCTCTGTCTGTTGTGTGGCCTGGTATGAATTAGGATGAGAGGTGAGGCATTTGAGGATTGGTGAGCGTGTGCCGAAGCCCTCCACTTCTGCCTGGCCTGGGCCTTCCTCTCTGCTATCTTGAACAGCAGTGTCAGAGTCAGGATTGCTCCCCACCTCTAGTGACAGGGCTGGCAGGCTGCTAGACAATCCCCTCAGCACAGTAGTGAGCACTGGACCAGATGTGGGGTCCAGAAATGAAGAGGTGAGTAAGAGCTGTGAGCCTTTCAGCCGTTTCCTCCCCACTCATACCRACTTCCCATTACCTGCTGGGTCTACCTGCTGTTCCATATGGTGGCTGTTTTTTTTCTTAGGTGACGCTAGGCTCAAGGTTGGTTGTTATCTTTTGAACCTGATTGGAGCAGTGAACTGTTAACATCCAGGTTGTTTAGCCAGACCGTGACAACTAGGGTAACGTGTGCTGTAGAATAGSTAGCTACTTCCGATGATTCCCCAAGAAAAGTCAGATCATTTTCTAGGAAGAAAGCTTGTAGTTGAGTTTGTAGAGATACGAGTTGAAAGACTTCAGGGATTTTGGGTTTGTTGCTGGGGTTTGGGGCAGAAGTAGATGGATTGTAGTCATTGATGAACTTTGCTTCATTTTGGGTAGCAGGGGCCTTGAGTTCAGGCAGCAGAGCGGAGGGTGGAGTGACTACTAGTTACTATTAGTGATGGCATGCTCCTGAGTACTGCTGTGTCCTTATGGTATGCGTGGGGATGTCTCCTGGGGTAGGGCCTGAGATGAGTGCAGACAGGAGGGGTGCTGAGGCTACTGATATAAGGAGATGCACACTCTGGCACCATTGAGTCAACAGTTTCCTGAGAAGCTTGTTGTACTTGAGCTTCATTCAGCAAAAGCTAGATAACAATGTTAGAAGGAGCTTCTGAGTTCAATTCAGCAAGTTTTGGTTTTGTTTTGTTTTATTTGGTAACAGAGTTTGAACTCAGGGGTACTCGACTACTGAGCCACATCCCCAGCCTTTCTTTAATATTTATTTGGAGACAGGGCCACACTGAATTGCTTAGTGTCTTGCTTTTTCTGAGGCTGGCTTTGAACTTGAGATCCTCCTGCCTCAGCCTCCCGAGCTGCTGGAATTACAGGTGTGCACCACTGTGTCTGACTAAGCAACAGCTTTTGAGGCCCCACCACATGCAGATACAGAGGTTCCAGGAACAGGACCCTTCCCTTTCTCTAGGGATCCCACATTGGAAGGTGGGTGAAGAGGGGAATACCATGCTGGGAGGAGCCTTGTTGCACACAGGACTTGAGGGGGAGAAACTTCCAGTGGAGGGCAGTGATTTCTGGAGTGTTTCACACATGGTGACATTGGGGTTGTGTTTCTTCCCCTGTCCCACATGTTGTGGTTTTGCCCCAATTGAGGCCAGGCATTCAGAGGCAGCGGCACCTCCCTTTTTATTTCTGCCTCTTTCTGTTCTACGAACCATCTTTCCTCTCTTAGAATCATTGTGCTGTTTGGTTTTTGTCATTTTACAGCACCAGGGGTGCTCTATCACTGACCTACATTGCCAGCCCTTTTATTTTTTTATTGAGACAGGGCCTCGCCAAGTTACCCAGGCTGGTCTTAAACTTGTGATCCTCCTGCCTCAGCCTCCTGGATTTTTTTGCCTAACACATCACAGGCACCCTCCTAAGCTGTTGGGAATTCCCGTCTAAGTGATCGTTCTTGTTTTTCATGGCAGTGCAAACCTCCTAGTACRTAAGCTAGCATGTTCTCACCATGCCCTCGTCATGGGACCTGGAAGTTGTTTCTAGGATACTTACGTATCTGAAAACTCCCAGGGAATATCTTGGAACCTTACAGACCTGGGTTCGATTCCTGACTCACCTTCACTTCCATCCAAGCCGTCACAAATTACAGGATTTCATTCTTTTCCATGGCTGAATAGTTGTTATTCCAGGGTGTATACGTACTGCATTTTCCTTATCCATTCTCCAGTTGATGGACACCTGGATTGTTTCCATCTCTCGGCTATTACACAGGGATGCAGCGGTTACACACACTGTGATGAGGTTGTGGTGGGATCATAGGGTAGTTCTGGATGTTTTTTGCTTTTTGTGGAAGCTCATACTGTTTTCTGTAACAGCTGTACTGATTTACATTCCTACCAACAGTGTGCAAAAGTTCCCATTTCTCCACATCCTCACCAGCACCTGTTATCTTTAGTCCACCCTCCTCCCCCGGCCCCGCTTTTCTCTTTTTGAGGAACTGAGGACTGAACCTAGGGGCTCTCTACCACTGGGCAACATCCCCAGCCTCTTGTGATAGGATCTCACTAAGTTGCCCAGGCTGCCCCAAACTTGCAACCCTCCTGCTTCTGCTTCCTGAGTGTCTGGAATGGCAGGCGTGTACCACCACGTGCCTGGCTTCAGTCTTTTTAAATAGCCGTTCTTACTTAAGAGAGGTGATATTTTATAGTGATTTTGGTTTCCACGTCCCTAACGATTAACAATATCAAGTATGTTTTCATAGACCTGTTGGCAATTTAATGTCTTCTTTTGAGAAATGTTTACTTGTTCTATTGCTAATTTTTTTTTTGTTTTTGCTTTTGCTGTCAAGTTATTGGAGTTCCTTTTATGTTCTAAATATCAACCCCTTATCAGATGTAGAGTTTTAAAATACTTTCTCCCATTCTGTAGTTTGTTTCTCCCACTCTGTTGATTGTTTCCCTTGCTGTGCAAAAGATTTTTAGTTTGACTTCATTCCATTTGTCTGTTTTTGTTTCCTGTCTTATCTGAAAATCTTGCCTGGTTCCAATGTCCTGAAGCATTTCCCCTGTTTTCTTCTGGTACTGTCATAGTTTCAGGTCCTCACATTTAACTCTTTAATGCATTTTGAGTTGGTTTTTCCAACTGGCGAGAGCTAGGGCTCTAACAACATTCTTCTGCAGGCAGATCCCTAGTTTTCCTATCACCATGTATCAAAGAGGCTGTCCTTTTTCAAATGTGTTGTTGGTACCTTTGTTGAAAATCAGTTGGCCACAAATGTGTGGGGTTTACTTCTAGGTTCTCTGTTCAGTTCCATTGTTTGGTCTGGGTTTTAGTTTTTTATGCCAATAGCCTATTGTTTTGATTACTGTAGCTTTGTTGTATTTTGAAGTCAGGTAGTATAAGTGTCTGCTAGGCAAGCACCCTACTACTGAGCTACATCTTTGGCCTTTTGTCTAAACATTCGAAGGCTGACCCCATGCTCCCAGTCTTCCTGCCTCGGCCTCCCAAGTAGTCAGGACTACGGTGTGTGCCACTGTACTCAGCTTCTGCTATGTTCGTTTTGTTCACATATTTTATATATATGTGTGTGTGTGTGTGTGTGTGTGTGTGTCTGTCTGTCTGTTTTACAGAGGTATTCATAGGTGGTGCTGAGCACTTCTGTCTGGAGGCACATAACATCTTCACGTTCTCTGTGGTGCTGGGACACATTGGTGGCCATTTCCTGCATCAAATCATTAGTGCTGCACAGGGACTCGTACTCTAGAACAGTCTGCATGTGCCTTCCCCATGCTGTTAACTTGAGGAACAAATGGGTGGGATATGACTAAGTAGAACAAGGCTATTTAAGCATGAAGAGCTGTCAGAGACCCTGTAAGGCAATGACAATCTAATTTGGAAGTTCTTTCATGGAATGGAGGAGTAGAAAGGGCCAACAGAAGGATATGCCAGAGAGGATGGCCTTTTTTCTGTCCCCTGTGGTGAAGCTTTGAAGATTCTGGAGAGATTGTCTCTGTAGACAGGAGTGTTGCATGTGAAGACTGCTATAGGGAGTTGGTGGCCTGGGGTCAGAGTTGTGGTGGATGGAGATAGCCTGGCTGTCTGGAGAGCGGTCCTGTGGAGGAGGAGCTGTAGGTGACTTCAGGGTGTCAAGTCTCAGGATTGGATTGGAGTTGCTCCCAATAAGAGCAAGAAGGCAGGAGGGCTGGGGCAGCTTTCTCTAGGACATAGCTGGCTTGGTTTTGAGCACTTTGAGCTTGTGGGGTAGCTGCCTCTCCCAGACTTTCTGGGCAGGACTGACTATAACATTGGAGGAGAAGTTGGTAGTTGAACATTTGGCATCATTGATGAAAGGGTGTGGTGTGATTTGGTGAGGAAGTTTGGGTAGACAGGGAAGGAGGACAGAGGTGCCACTAAGAGGTGAAGGAATATGAGGATTACGAGGAAAGCTATTGAACTTTCAGCATAGGAATAAGATCCTGCATCCTTAGGACATCCCTTTGGGATTGTAAGGAGTGACAGAGGAAAGAGCCACAGCCTGGCATGGGGGATGGAAGACTTGAGAGATTTGGGGTTCAGCGTGTGGAAGCATTTTTGGTTTTGATAACACAGGAGGTTGGGACCTTGTTGGAAACATTGGGACAGTGTGGACACATGGTCTACAAGGAAGAAGAAATTGGAAATGAAAGGAAGGTACAAGGGCCAAGTGAGAGGGCAGCTGGCCACCTCTTTGTGCCCATTGAGCCTGCTCATTGCACCATTCCTGCTGTGTTCCATCTTGGTTACTTGTGTCTCCTCCGGTTGCCGAGAGCTCTTTGAGAGAAACACCCTGCATCGTCCTCCTGTCCCACAATGGTGCTGGTTATAAGGTGGACGTCAGTGAACAAACCCAGAGTCATGTTGAACTGTCAAGAGCCCAGGCCCTCACTTCTCGCAGACTGTTTGTCAAACCCTTGCGCTCTCATTTACTAGCTGTGTGGCCTTGGACAAAGCACTTTACCTGCTCAGGCCCCTGTTTCCCCATGTAAACAGTGATTATGTGGAAGGGTGAGGGAGATAATGCAGACAGGTTTCTGCATCTGGGATAGAGCTCAGACTTCATACCTGCAGGCTTTGGAACACTCATGAACTCGTGGATGCAGATTATCTTAGAAGGGGCCACTTGGTCTCAAGTCAGCCTGGCCTTGGAGATCATGCCCTTCCCTGTGTGTGGAGACTTATTTTGCATGTCCATCTCCTTGAATTTCTCCTCTCTAATGTGGTTTCCAACCTCTTTGAGAAGTAGGCATGCATGTGTTGCCTGCTTTTCATCATCTAGATACCTGCTACTAGGAGAATGCTTTTAAAAGTGAATATCTGTATTCACATTTTGGATTTTATATGTATCATTTATCCCCTTCCTCCAGAACTACCTGCTTTTCCCCTAACAGAACAGCAGTTCAAAATTGTCAGGTTAATAGATGGTGGGTGGGTGTCTTTTCCAAACAAATCGGCTTGACAGCCTCATGTCCACAAGGAGACCGCGTGAGTCCTTATGGGCAATGGTAGGGTGGCTCCTTCATCAAAGAGTAAGTGGGGCATAAGTGAATTGGTATTGGTCGATGTCCACCAAGTGCCCAGCTAGAGGAAGCCTACAGGAACCCGCGCCATCCAAACCTGGAATTCTAGGCATTACTGATCACAGGCTGTTGCTGAGCATGGCTAGGTTGTTCTTTCCTTCCAACAATAAGGCCTTGTCCTTTGCTCTGGTGTTACCCCAGTGGTGGAGTAGGCGGGCCTGCAGGCCAGAGGGTTCTGCTCCATCTGTCTGTGCATCCATCCATATCCAAGAAACATATACTTACTGAGTATTTGGCACATTGGTAGACATTGTGACTATAGTGGTGACTTAGAGGAGCCCCCTTGTCTCTTGGAGTTTGCATTTTTGTGACAGCATAAATCAATGACGCAGTGATAATCGATGAGGAGAGTGGGTGGTTCCAGCCTTGCCCTGTAACTAGTGCCTCAGAGAGGGTCACTCCACAGAGATGGGGCAGCCAGAAAAATCCCTTAACATGACTCGTCGAATAACCAGCATTTGCCATCTTTAAAAAGGCAGCAGCCCACCCAGTGTGTGTGGTGGCACTGAGGAAGAGTTCTAGGGCTGCATGGCAATATCCGTGGCGGGGTGGCACAGGACCTTTCATCGTGAGCCCTTCTGTTTCTCGTTCTAGGAGTGGACACGCTCTCCTGGCGTTCATGTTCTCTCGACAGGAGGGCAAGCTGAACCGCCAGCAGACCATGGAGCTTGGCCACCACATCCTGAAGGCCCACATTTTCAAGGTGAAGCATGCATCCACAGGACGGAGGGCTTCTTTGTTGTCATTTGTAGTTTTGAAGATTTTGGACAGCTGTGTGAGCCATCTCAGAAGCCCTCCACAAGTCCCATCCCAAACATGACTCCCTTTCTCCCTCCCTAAAGCTGCCATCTTACAGTCATTTCCTTGTATTTCTTTATAATTTATCACATGAGCATGCATCTGAATGCTCTGGGTGAGTGTAACTTTCCCCCTTTGAATCCCTTTCAAGTTTCTTTTCATTCAAAGTTTGCCTTTATTCCCTTTTGTTTCCTTGTTATTTACTTGTCAAAGAACTTGAGTTCCTTGACCTATATAATTTCACACCACCTGGATTTCTGATTGTGTGCTTGCTTCTCAAGGTGTAGTTTAATGTGTGACTCTCGCCCCTGGATTTCCTGTCATTAGTCTTTGGGTTGACTTTACCCCCTGCACGGTGTCAAGATGATTTTGCAGTTGAAGGGGGGTCTGCAGGAAACACATGGCCTGTGCTTGCTGCTTATTTTGTGATGCCATCAGCCCTTACTAGTTGCTGCTAGGACTCATTCTTTAGGGGTTGCCTACAGTGATTCCCTAATTCCATCATTTATTCTTCTAATTCTATAAAGGGAAGCTTTCTCCTTTTCATTATCTCTCTCCYGGGTGTGCAATTCATGTAGCAAAGACGGGGTGATTCCCTAACCCACGGTTAGGCAGGGAAGGCTCACAGGGCATTGTTCACACAAGTTACCCCGCCTTCAGCACCTGTTGTACCCTCTTGGGCACCCTGCAGTCAAACTGATGCCACGGGTAGGAAGGACATGCTCATGGGATCTGTTTCTGGTTGTTTCCAGGGCCTCAGTAAGAAGACTGGAATCTCCTCCAGCCATCTGCAAGCCCTGTGGATAGGGTACAGCACCGAGGGTCTGTCTGCCGCCCTTGCCTCTCTCAGGAATCTCTACACTCCCAACGTGAAGGTGAGCAGCCGTCTGTCCAGGGAGCAGAGCCCAGGCCTATTCCTTCCTGTCGGCCCTGCCAGTCTGGCTCCAGGCAACGTGAGAGGGACAGAGGAGCTTCTCGTGATGCTTTTCCTCGATATCAATCACACAATCTCTGTTAGAGGTTTAGCTTCTGCTCCAGCAGGAAGATATGGGTGGTCAGGGCTGCTCCATGAGTATGTGGTGACCATTTCAGGGCTGATGTGATAAGGAAGCAATTTACCCAGGAAATCAAAGGTCAGAGATTTCCAAGGAAACTGGATTTTTTAAATGCCTGGGTTACTTGTCTGTACTCTCTCTTCGGGTTTCCAGTAAATTCAGCTTTGATGAGTGACACAAAGCAATGAGTACACAGCACACTGATGGAGGTCTCATGTGCACAGACATTTTTGACTATGGAAAGAGTGTCAGGTCCTTGGCTGCTGAGTCAAGAGCTGCTTCACTCCATGGTCAATGGCTTTCATGTCACAGTATTCTGCTCTGCTTTTCAAGATAAATTTTCCTTCCCCAATGAATGCAGTCCAATAATAGAAAGCACCCAGAGGCCAAATATCTGGGTAAGGCCACCAAGAATTGTCCCTGCCTTGATGTGCCGACCACCTGTAGAAGCTCCTCTGCAGGCCATTTGCCAGTAAGTCTGGTTATTTCCTTAGACCACTTCCATGATGTGATCACTGCATCATCTCTCAGGAACACAGGGATGCCCAGCCTGGTCAAGGACAAGGCAAGGCCCTGGCTCACAGTTTCTGGGCATCTGACGTCCACTTCTCCTCGCTACCTTGGATGGAGGCTGTGTGCACCAGAGATGGAATCATGGGGGACACTCCTAGGGCCTTCTGTGCCTCTCCTCCCTGCTGCCCATACACCTCACCCTCAGCATGCTTGTTTTAGGCATGGGTCTGGGTCTAGTCTTACAGAGTGCTTCTCCATGTCTAATTAGAGGTGTGTCCTGCCCCTTCCTCACTTTTCTGTCTCCCTGGTGACTTTGAGAGGTGAGAGTATCACAAAACTGAGGCTCCCTGTTGTTGTGGGAGGACTCTCAGTTGTTGTGGGAGGATCTAGCAGTGCTCTGAGTCTTGGGGTAACCCAGACCCTGCTGCCCGCTGTAAGACTTTGGTATGGAGTAGGGAGAGTCCACTGTCCCTGGGTGGTAGACGCAGTGTCTTTACAAATTACTACCTCATCCAGGTGGCCTATGCCCCTGTCAGGGATGGAAGCTGACTGGCAGAGCCTGTTGGATTTCAGCTTTGATTCACCTGCTTTGTGGGTGCCTTTGTGCCTGCATTCAAGGTGTGGAATAGCTCATGGCACTCTGAGCTCTTTCCTGCTCCAGGCCTGCTCCTTTGCAGATTATCACTCACACTGCAGACAGCAGATCTCAGGGCTTATATCCCAACTGAAGCCTTCTGCAGTTTTTTGTAGGTGGATGGGCAGGAAACCATTCATGTAGTATAGTGGAACCAGCCCTAAACTGCCATTGCTGATGGTCAGAGGGAATGTGCTCTTTCCATGTTGTTACCCAATAGAAAGAAAGGGGAGGAGACAACTAAGTTCAGATTTCATRTAATGAAAAAGCATTTGTTTATGTGTGGTATTAGGAATTGAACCCAGAGGTTTTTTTACCACAGGGCTACGCCCACACCCCTTTTTCTTTTTATTTCAAGATGGGGTCTTGCTGAGTTGTTGAGGCTGGCCTCAAACTTGCAATCCTCCTGCCTCAGCCTCTCAAGTCACTGGGATACAGGTGTATGTGACCAGACACAACTGAGGAAGAAGCATTATTAAGAATTTTTTCACTTAGGTTACTATAATAACATTGTTTCATCTTTCCTGTGATAGTTAACAATATATCTTTTGGCTTTTCCATAATTTATAAAATTCTGTATGATGACCAAGAAGAAAGAAAGAAGAATGGCAATATGTTTTCACTACTTTAATAAATTTATGGGAACAGAAGTTACTCAAAGTGCAGAAAAGTGAGAAACATCATACTCGATTGAATATGAGTTTTTAAAACAGCAAATTAAAAGGTAGATATAATAATACAATGAGCTTGGCTCTCCAGGATTATAAACTTTTCCTTTAACATACTTGCAATTTAAAGAGTGTTCATTTTTACTTTGTTTTATACAACTCCTATGTCACCTCATCTGTACCACCCTCCAAATCATATAACTTGGCTATAAAATTGTAAGTCTTTCCATTATCCTTCTGAGTTGTTTTTTTTTTTAATCTTTCAAGGGGGGATAAAGGTTTTCACAGAATCTTGAGCAAATTACAGTAATTTAAAATTATGCATGCAATTAAAGAACTTTTTTTAGAGAGCATTAAATGTTGTCATACAGGAATGAATGTCATTTTGAGCAATAATTGCAGTTTGCCACTTTGGTAAATTAAAGTGACTTGCTCTGGAATGATTACTTGATAATTTCAGAATGCCAGTGATTTCTAGCACTGCAGCCTCTCTTCACCAGGTCAGGGTTGTACCAGCCTATGCCCAGCTGGCCTGCTGAGGTTCTTGCTGTGAGCACCTCCAAGCCCCATCCAGCTGGTGATTTTCTGTTAGTGCCATCTCATAGAACTGGCACCATCCTCAGGCTGCTTACAGGAGCCAAGTCATGGTGGTTCTTTGCTCAGCTGAAGGTAGGGAGGAGAGGAGAACTTACCCTAGCTGAGGACAGGCAATCCCGTCCTTCTGATTCACAATTAAGCCACACACATTTTAAAGTTGCTGTGCCTATGTGAGCTGCCAGTATACTTAGTAAAGACACAGCAATTCCCATTTCATAGCCAAACTGGCCAGTGCCTCTCCTCTTCCTTGTGGTCATGTCTCTTTACCTGTCCCCAATACCCCTTTTAGATAATATTGCCACTTCCAGTTGTCAGCCAAGAAGAGCACTGTGACAGTGAGTGGACATCTCCATGCAGTTGGAAAAAAAAAATCCATGACATATGTTATGTTGTTACCTCCCTTAGCACCATCTCACTCAGAGCTGCTGCTTTGCTGCCATGCTCATATCAGAGGTTAGCTTTGTGCTCTGAGCTAACCTTAGCCTCACCTGCTCTGAGCCTTAGTTTCCTCATCTATAAAATGGAGATGACAAAAAAGTCTGTCTTGCAACATGATCAGAAATCTCACTGTTAATGCTCTTGGGGAAATTCATGGCATTTCTTAAATGTTACTTCTATTGGTACTTACCTTGGCTTTGGACACTGTGACTGCTGCTGCAGCATCGGGATCTTCTGATGTGCCTTTGGATGTTGTGAACAGGAGCTAAGGCCCCATGATTCCCTGTGAGGCACATCTACCCCCCACTCCTGCATGCAGGTCCCTGCTAGGAATAGCCTGGGTGCCACAAGGCCATGTGGGTGAGAGGCCAGACCTCCAGGTCACCAGGTACCTGTGTTCTTGTCCCTTCTGAAGACTGTACAAAAGGGTGATTGTAACAATAGCAATTGGTATTCTTTTAGTGCTTGGGGGATCTGAGTGCTGCTAAATACTTTATGCACACATGTATATATACACACATACTTTTTTCTGCACATTTTTAATCTTCACAACTGTTCAGTGAAGTGAAACTGTTCGTTGTTTTGAGACAGGATCTCACTGTGTTGCCCAGTTTGGCCTCAAACTTGCAATCCTCCTGTCTCACCCTCCTGAATAGGAAACTAATCTCCATGTTTCAGTTGAGGAAACTGCAATTTAAGGCAGTTGGTAGCATTCTGCGGGTCACACAGCTGGCAGGGACCTGATGCAATCCCATACCATGTCTGCAGGGGCCTTTATCACTTGTGTGTTTACAGCCCTGACTGCCAACTCAAATCACTTGGGAGCTCTGGGTGGCAGAACCTTTACCACAGTTAAGTCAGAATCTCTCAGGTGGGGCACAGGTGTTGGAAACTTTCAAGCTCCCAGATGGCTTCCATGTGCAGCAGGGTTAAGAGCCGTGGGTTTAAGATCAACAGACTTGTAGGAGATTAAGCCGTAAAAAGACCCACAGCATTGCTCCAACAAAGGGGGATGCATTGATGAGGAACCTCTTCAGGAAAGCTCCACCCCTAAGTGTATACCTTCCAGGACCCGAGTATTGAAAGTACACCTTCCAACACTTTTAACAAAGAGAACCTGTTAGGTAGAAAGGGGTGGGAGCTGAAGCACAGAGAGGACGAGTCATTTAATAAGTCACAAAGCAAGCTGAAGCAAATGGGTGAGAATTCAGACCATTCAATCCATCATTTTTTTTTTCTCATAGACCCACAGGTATCAGGAAGGGATGGGGTTGATGGGGAGAGGACAGGATAACGAGCTGGCATAGTCATCCAGGGAATTCACAAATGACTCCTGTCTGTCCGTGGTTGTCCTTAAGTCACTTATTTCTATGCATGTACATCTTCTATTTGCCTCTTGCTCTGAACTTGTTTCCTAGGCCTTGATAAAATCCCCAAGTATTCCTTTTCTTTCCATTCCAATAATAGTCATTGAAAAGGAAATCACTTTTAAAGACTATACTTTTATTTGGCACTTGAAATTTTGAACTGGGCTTGAGTCTGGTGGTGTTTTTAAGAGTGAACCTGTATAGATTTGTAGCAGGAATGAATGAAATCGTTTGCCTGAGTGTCACAGTAAATGTGTGTTAGGGCAGGAATACTTTTCTGATGTCCCTGTTTTCTGCCTTCCTGTCCATAAGTTATGGTTGATAGCAGGAGAGTGGAGCCTGGGTTGGTGCTGACCAGGTCCAACTAGTTGGTGGTACGTCTGATGGGGTGGGGGTGGGGGTTGCCAGGTAGCCGGCTGGCTCTGCAGGGCCTCCTCATGATGTTTGTGGCCTCTCCTTCCCTGGGTGTTATTAATGGTCCCAGTGAAGTGAAGGACCTGACTCCTGGGCCATCTCTGTCTTCAGAGGGGCTTGTGTTCCTGTCTTCTTTTCTGTGCACTTGTGACCAGCATGTGGTGCAGTGAGTAAGCTAAGCCAGAGAACCGTGTGCCAAGGGATGGAGAGGGCCTGGAGGCATGCATGGGGCCAGTGGTGAAAATATTCTCAACAGGCTAGGGACTGCTCTCTGGGGTCCTGGTGTGGAGCAGAGACCCACAGGAAGTGATCCTTGGGCACCATGTCTATAGAACGAACTTTCCAGTCAGAGGGAGGAGGCCAGAAGCCCTGAGAATAGGACCTGCTTGGCTTTGTTATGGCTTAGGTTTCGGGACCAGGCGACCCCAGGAAGGGAATTGAGAGGAAGTGAGAAGCCTGGATCATGTGAGGGTTGAGCTTCGACAGCAAGTAAGACATCTTCAGATGTTGGGCTGCCATGGTGTGCTGTGGCCTCACCACCTGAGAGCATCACCCCCCATACCTAACAGCGTGACCATCTGTCAGCTACTCCAGTGGACAGGCATCACCCGAATACACTGAATTCTATATGCCTGTCATTTTCCTGTGTCTTTTAATGATCCCCACGTGTCTCTAGTCAAATCTATGACATGGTCTCTGTGGTTCTCACAGCTAACGGACAGCCCCGAGGACCTGCCAGGGTTTGGCGCAGAGAGTGATGGATGCAGGTCCCCTGAAGGGAAGTGTTCAAGGAAACATACCAGGCATCTGAATAGGCATTGAAAGAGCCACTCCCCACCCCTACCCTGACCCCTGGGAGATCTAGAGATGGGAAGGAGACATTAGTATAGCTGAAATTTGCCTGTGTTCAATGAGATTTGTTGAGTTTAGTGGGCGGTGGCACATCTGTTGTTAGTAGAAGCAACAGGTGACTTCAGCCATATCACACTGCTGACAATCCCAAGGGCATGTGAACACATCTGTACATTAGTATTTTCTTCTAGAAACACATCCTTTAAAGAAAGGGGAGTGTATTTTCTTTGGGCTTTATCTCACTGTTAACAGAAATTTCAGTTTTCTCTTGGAGATGAAATAATATTTTTATTTAAATTAAACATTGTTTTTTTTTTTAGTGTGGTCCCCAAACCAACAGTATTAACATCACCTGGGAACTCATCAAAAATGTGCCACCGAGACCTCCTGAATTGGAAATCCAGAGGACAGGGGATGGGGTGTCTGAGACTTCATGTTTTTTAATTTTTATTTTCACTTATGATAAACACACATGATAGAAATTTACCAACTTAGCCATTTTTAAGTGTACAATATATTCACATTGTTGTGCAATAAAAAATCTCTGGAGGGGGCTGGGCCTGCAGCTCAGTGGCTGAGTGCTTGCCTAGCACATGTAAGGCACTGGGTTCAATCCTTAGCACCATAGTTTTTAAAAAATAACATAAAGGCAGACTGTCCATCTATAACTTCAAAAATATTTTTTAAATTAAAAAAATAAATCTCTGGAGCTTTTCATCTTGTAAAACTCTGTATCCATTAACCCCTCTTCCACTTCCTATTGCTGCATTTGACTACTATAGGGAACCTCATAAGTAGTAACTTTCATCTGCCTTATTTAAGTTCTAACATCTTTAAAGCACATGTCAGGATTTTCTTTTTAAGACTGAATAACATTCCATTTTATGCACATATTGCGTTTTCTTTATCTGTTCATCTATTGGTGGGCATTGGGGTTGCTTCTACCTCTCTGACTCTAAATGATGCCGAAGTAAACATGGTATGTAAATCTTTCTTTGAGATCCTGCGTGTGGTTGTTTGGGGTGTATACTCAAAAGTGGGATTGCTGGATCATACAGTAGTTCTATTTTCAATCTTTTTGAGGAACCTTGAGACAATTCCCACTGTGTCTACATTGGTTTCATTCCCACCAGTGAGAATATGTGTTATTCACATGTCCCCCTGGCTGATACTTTGCTTACTCAAGTTTGAGGTCCACTAGATTATGATGAAATGTCACTGAGATTAACTTGTATGTGAGAATTAATCTTATTGGGGGACACCATCCAACAGGTGAGCCGGCTCCTGATTTTGGGAGGGGCCAACGTGAACTACAGGACAGAAGTGTTAAATAATGCCCCCATCCTGTGCGTCCAGTCTCACCTGGGCCACGAGGAAGTTGTTACTCTGCTCCTGGAATTTGGGGCCTGCCTGGACGGGATGTCAGAGAACGGCATGACTGCACTCTGCTACGCAGCAGCTGCTGGCCACATGAAGCTGGTGTGTCTGCTGACCAAGAAGGGGGCACGGGTAAGCAGCAGCCTTCCCTGCTCTGGGACAGCCAGGGCATGGGGTGGGTGGGAAATATCTGCATATTGTGGTTTGAACTGTTACTAACCAGGCCAGTCTCCCTTTGTTTGTGTATTGTCCAATCTCAATGAATGCAGAATCCTCAGCATAAATGGAGGGGCTAGACTACAGGTGTTGCCAGTTTATAATGTTGCTTGGTGTAGAGCAGCCTTGGGAGAGAGGTGGGCCATGTGCTGGCTTCTGAGTTGTTTTTCTGCTTAATGCTGCCCCAAAGGGAGGTCTCAGGGAGAATCCTGACCACCAGCCATGTGAGTAGGGCCATCCTTTATGAATCCTGCAGTGTTTACCTAGAACTTGGTAGCATTTAACATGGCACCACAGTGGGCTGCAAAGATTTTAAATGTTTGCCTTTTATTTCACCCTCTTATCCCATTTTATATTGTGTCTTTTTAAAACAATTGCTTGAGTTCTGTAGATCTTAGAAGCCACGTGCTTGAGCTGCCGGGAGTCACCATCTCTCTCTTTGCCCACTAGGATACTGGGCAGGTTACTGAACCCATGCGTCCCAGGCTTCCCGTCTGTCAAATGGGAATCACAGTAGCATCTCCCACAGTGCTGCTGTGTGAGCACTAAATCAGCCTATTGCAAGTAATATGAAAAAATTATATTATTAGCCAAGTTCCTTCAAAACTATCAGTGTTGATAGATTAAATGAAAAGTACATGGAGTTCCCAGTAAACTCCCTCTAGCTTTATTATAAACATTTCATTAGCAGATATAGCTTTTGAATAATAACAGATAAACCACTCATGATTGTTTTTGCATTTTTATTTAATTAGGATATTTAAAGTTCAACATCAGTACCAAAATACCCTCAAAATATTAGGTTTATAGTAACTATGGAAGCCTTTTTTCTCTCTCGCTCTCAAAAATCCGACACTTGGGGGCTGGAGAATTGGCTCAGAGGTAGTGTGCTTGCCTAGCATGCATAAGGCCCCAAGTTCAATCCCCAGCACCACACACACACACACACACACACACACACACACACACACACACAAATTTGGATCATCTGAATTTTAGCTCCTAGAAGAAGGGGTATGTCTCTGGAGGCTTTGCTATGAGTGCCTCACTGCTGTGTGGTCTGCACCTTCATTCCAGGATTCAGATATCCCTTAGCTTTATTCAAAGGCCAGCAGATGGAAGCCAGTGGACATGTCGGTGGCTCTTGCAGAGCCTCTGAGTGCATGTGCAGCACTCCTCAGTGTTTGTAAGCATGATGGGACTGGGCCCTGGCTCCTCCTCAGCCCCCAGACTCCCTGGGTACAGAAGGGCAGTGGACTTCTGTCTCCTCTGGTCCTCCGTAGGTGTGCACTGCTCACACACTCACCCTTTCTGGCCAGTGGCCTCTTCTGACTTTATGCACTACCCCACTACCCCTTTTACATGCCAGTATGTCCAGAGTTTCCAGCCTACACAGACTCCCTTTGGCCTTCCTCCTTCAGAGCTGCAGTGGCAAGATCCCTCCCTTTCTCTGGCTTCTCTAGTTCAGTGACCGAAGACCTGTTCTCCCCCACAAATTGCAGCTCCCTGTGCCAGCCTGAGAGCGCCCACCTGGGCACCCAGTTGGGAAGCCCAGGGTTTTGTCTGAGGTTTTGGTCTGAGTCCTTCTATGTGTAACCAAGAGAACGTGGAGCTCTGTGCAGTATACCAGGGGAATATTTAGATAAGGAGGGGATCTTGTGATCGCCAGTCCTACAAGGGGAACCCGAGGCCCAGATCTTTGCTTTCATTACCATGCAGGAAATCGGACAAAGGTTCAGTGCTGTCCAGAAAGACATGTTAGAATTTGAACCTGTGTCTGTTTGGAGTTTACTGGAGCCTGCACACAGCCTCTGGTGGATGTGGGTTCTCAGAGGAAAGGGAATGCTCATCTGTGCCCTTTCCCAACTCCTGCCCCCCCAGGTGGACCACTTGGATAAGAAAGGCCAGTGTGCACTCGTCCACAGCGCTCTGCGGGGCCATGGTGACATTCTCCGGTATCTGCTGACCTGTGAGTGGTCAGCAGGTCCTTCCCAGCCCGCCCTGAGGAAGAGCCAAGCCCTGCAGCAGGCACTGACAGCAGCTGCCAGCATGGGCCACAGTGCGGTGAGTGAGGCTATGCTTCCTTCCTGGGAAGTGGGACGCCATCGCCCAATGGGTCAGTTGCTTTGGCTAATGGGTACCGTTCACATTGTGAGCCTGTGACACATTGAAGGAAAGAGAAAAAAGAGAATTTTGAGAAGTAGCCATTGGCTTTGACCATGTGTAAAGGCTTCTCTTGGATCACATCCTTCCTCAGTCCCATCAGCTGTGACTGGGACAGCTGGGTGGGTTCTTCCCGTGCAAGGCCTCTCTCAATGATCTCGGCTCTTCCTCCTGTTTCTTTCTTCCCTGTTCTACTTTTACCCTTTTGCCCTGCTGTTTTACATTTTTTCCCTTTAATTCATTCTTTTTATCTTTGTAATCTTTTAAAAATAATCCCATGGAATCCTAGTTCTAAAATCATTCTTGAGTATTTGAAGGATTTTCAAAAATAGAACTTTAATGCTTTGGAAGCACATAAATAAGAATGCTTGTCATTCAAGCTCCTGCACTGAAGGAGAGCTTCGCAGCTGCTAAGTTGAGCACTTATTTCTGGTAGATACAGTATTCCTCATTTTGAAGACTTAATTGTCATCTCCTGATCTGTGTCTTAGCTCAGTCTTTGAATTTAATAAACATTTTACTCACGCTCTTCCTTGTTTTTCTCACTCTGTGTTATCTTCAGGCAATTAGAGGTGCCAGTAATTGGTAAAATTCTTTCCCCAAAATGGCTTAAAGTAAATTCGAGTGCCAAGCTGGCTGACTGACATTTGGCACTTAAACACAGGGCAGACACAAACACACAAGCCTGTACTGCTGGCTGTCTAATTTGGGGCATTGAAAACACATGCATAAATATACAGAGAGAGTGTTAAATGCACATATCTGAAAATGTAGGTATTTTTCCTTTCTAAATGGTTGCCTAAACCTGAGTGTGTCTAAAATGTGAAAAATCAGCATTTGGGGTCCCAGGAACACCAAATGTAGATTTGGCTCTCGTCTCAACTTATGTTCACCCCTCATTTTTAAGCAGGCTGGGAAGAATGTGAGCAAAACCCCCCTCAGCACAACAGTAACCATACCATGGAAAGAAGCAGGATTTATTCACCAAAGACTTAGAAGGTGTAACAGTTTCCTAATGCTGTCATGACAATGGCCACCAACTTGGTGGCTAAAATCAATACATGCTTACTCTTAAGAGTTCTGGAGGCCAAAGTTCTAAAGTTAAGGTGTGAGCAGGCCACCATTCCTTCTGAAGGCCAGTCTGTTTCCTGGCTTTCCTAGATTCTTTTTTTTTTTTTTTTTTTTTAAAGAGAGTGAGAGAGGRGAGAGAGAGAGAGAGAGAGAATTTTTAATATTTATTTTTTAGTTCTTGGCAGACACAACATCTTTGTTGGTATGTGGTGCTGAGGATCGAACCCGGGCCGCACGCATGCCAGGCGAGCGCGCTACCGCTGAGCCACATCTCCAGCCCCTTTCCTAGATTCTTGAAGCCACCTTTGTTCCTTATCTCACAGCCCTGTCCTCCACCCTTAGAATATGTCACTTTAATTGTAGCTCTGTTGTCCTTCTGCTCCTTCCTCTGACTTGGATTCTATCTGTCATCTTCCTCTGAGGACTGTTGTGGTCACATCAGATATGATAGCAAGTACACCGTATACTCTGATAATTCAAGATTGGTTATCACATCTGCAGTTTTGCCATGTAAGGGAACATTTGCTAGTTCCTGGGATTTGGTTGTTACTCGGCCTAGTAAGAACATATGAATTTGGAGGCTGGAAGATGGCTTTGACTTGTTTTCTGTTGCTCAGGGTGAATGTTGGCTCTGATCCAGGGCATGGATATATCCATCTCCCCGAGAGCCAGCTCTCCTGCCTCCATTCCATATTGTGACCTGACTTGCTCTTTGACCTGAAGATGTCCCAAAGGGAAAAGAATAATGCTGCCAAGTAGAGAAATCATTTGGACAATACTTGAAAAATTTTTATTGTTGAGAAAAAAAWATATATATATATGTAATATATGTGTGTGTGTATATAATCTTGCCTGGTTTTCCTTCCTTCCTTAAAAAAAAATGGATCCACCATCTTCTGGTGATTTATGCAGAAACTGCACTTTATGTGATCTGCCGTGTCCTTTGTTGATTAGGCTGGCATATTTGGGTCATGTTGGAATTCATTAGAATTCTGAGTACCTAGTAATTCTGAACAATGTTGATGAAATTCACTGAGATTTTTTTTAATTCTTCTCCAAGTGAAAGTGTGAATAGCATATGAATTATGCTTGAAAACAGTTTTCATTATATTTTCTCTCCTCGTGCAGCATGAGATAATAATGGTTAAAAAACAACATTCTCTCCTTTGATATGTGGGATATAATAAGCACCTATTGCCATGAGAACTCATTAAGTCACCTTGCCACTTCTGACAGGTGGTCCAGTGCTTGCTGGGAATGGAAGAGGAACATGAAATAGAAGTCAATGGCACCGACACGTTGTGGGGAGAAACAGGTAATTAGGCTTCCACTGCATGTAGTCTGGGGCAACTCGCTTGATGTTTTAGCCCCCATTGTGGCCTAATTGTCTTAAGGATGACTTGTGATGCATGTAGTCCTATTTTTATTTTATCACGAGGCATTTGAAGTTTAAAGCTTTTAAACTTTCCAAATGGTAGTAAAACTTCGCTAGAAGCATATAAAATTTGAATCATTTTCAATTAGAGTAGCAGTTATCATGCCTCTGAGGAATGTCAGATGGAAATACCTAAATAAGGCATCTGGTCTGCCAGGTCTTCACTTGTCCTGACCACCCGATCTTCCTGTGACTTGTGCAGAATGAGCCGGGCAGGCACGTCCACCCTCATTTTCAGGTGAATCAAAGGTGGCTCATTAGGAAGGGCTGGGGCCTGCCCTGCATTGTAAAATGAGGGTAGAACTCAGGCTCCATGCACCTACCTAAAATACTAAACAGAACTGATAAGTCAGTTTCTTTTGGTCTGGGATGTGTGTTTAACTACAATGGGGAAATGCCACAAGAAAGAGTACATTTTAATGAAGAGTGAAATTCTGATGAATGAAGATAATGCTGGTTGCAAATTTTCTATTTGACCGAATGGGCGTTAGAAATGTAAAACTTTAGATTATGAATTATTTTTTAGTGAATATAGCTGGGGTGTTGAATGTGCATTTCCAGGCTGAGTTCTGTGTGTATACATGGTGTGTGATTTCCATTTCTCTTGCACAGATTTGTTTCCAAATGCTTCTAAATTACTTCCTAACAAGCCAGATGGTGGTGTGGAGAGATTATTAGCTAACTCACACTTAAGAGAAGCCTCAGAGATTTTCCTGGTGGGAGTGCAGTCCTGCCCTTGAGAGTTCCATGGCCCCCTCCAGGGCTGTGGCCATCGGCCTGGCTTCCCATTGCTCATCTGGGATTGAAGGAGGAGCAGGCACAGCCTGGGTTGCAGAGAAAGTACAGGACTCCAGATGGTGTGGACTATGCATAGTGCCAAAAGTGTGCAGACTGCAATATTGCCACTTCCTCTTTATGGAGTTCTTCACCATACTTTTAAATTGTCCTTTGGCAAAAGAAAAGTTTCCATCAAATTCCACACTGTGTCAGCAGAGTAGCCAAGTGGAGAACAGGACTTTACTGATGGCCAGAAAGTTGGAATCCCCCACCCTTTCATTGCCTAGTTGAGCACCTTGGGACAGGTGTCTCTGTCAAATGAGGTAAATCTCACCTGCCATTTAGGAGACAGGCGACTACTAAGTGAGGTAAAGCAATCTCACCAGAAGGTACCGGATGATGTCAGCCTAAAGAGCACTGGCCCCTAGACACTCTGATTCCTGGGGTCTAGGGAGAGCCCAGCATCCTGAATTATTTGAAATGATTCATCCACCAAGAAAAACAACTGCTGCACAGAGCTGTCTGGAGTGGTGACACAGTGTGACACCTGTGAAAGATGGCCACAGTGACAGAGAATCACCACATCCTTAGTTCACAGGGGAATCTCCAACCTTTAGTGTTCAAAATGATTTTTTTTTCCTGGAAGAATAATCCTGAGGATTGACTTTGAGGCCTAGGCGTGGGCTTTTCTTTCTCTTTGATCAGTCCTGAATTTCAGTGTCTTCTCCCTCAAGATTCTCAGTGGGTTGCTGGCCAAGGAGACATGTGAGACTGCAGACTTCCCCCTAATCTTCTTTATTTTAACAACACACATTTATTATCTCAGTCTCTGTAAGTCTGAAGTCTGGGCACAGCATGGCTGGGTTCTCTGCTTCAGGTTCTTACCAGCTTACAGCRTTGACTTGCGCTGTGTTCTCATCAGAGACTCCATGCACTGAGGTCCTTGGCAGGATTCATCTCCTGGCCATTGTCCCACAGGTCTCAGTAAAAAAAAAAAACAAAAAAACTACAGAATAGTTCAGCCTGTCTTTCAAAGCCTTATGTATGGCCTTCGAGGGCTAGGAAACACTTCCAGTTTCCTTATCAGACATCAGGTGAATTTCATCAGTCAAGAGGATTCATTTGTTTTGTTTTTGTTGGAGTGATGGGGATTGAACCCAGGGCTGCAAGCATGCTAGGCAAGTGGCTATCACTGGGCTACATCCTCAACCCAGCCAAGAGTTGTTTTTTCAGTTTTGAAAGCCCTAAACTTTAAGCTGAGGTTGGGCATGGTGGCTCACACTGTAATCCCAGCAATTTGGGAGATTGAGGCAGGAGGATTGCAAGTTCAAGGCCACCCTGGGCAACTTAGCCAAACCCTGTCTCAAAATAAAAATGAAGAGCTGGAGATGTAGCTCAGTGGTAAAGCATCCCTAAATTCAATTCCCTGTACTTAAAAAAAAAAGCTAAGGCAACATAAGGGGCTGGGCTATAGCTCAGTGGCAGAGCACTTGCCTAGGAAGTGTGAGGCACTGGGTTTCATCCTCAGCACCACATAAAAATGAAACAAACAAAAGCATGCTGGCCATCTACAACCCTGAAAAAAGAAAAGGCAACATAAACACCATTTTCCAGGCTTGGACTTCAGGTCTATAACCCACCCACCCCCCTTCTCCCTGTGTTTTTCTGCGGGTTATCTTTCCCTCATGTTCCTTCAAAAGTGACCAACACTTGTCTGCCTCAAAACTCTCCTCCTTTCTAGATCTGTACTTATCAGGGAGCTACCTTGAAATCTTGCAGCAGAAGTTTTAGATGAGAAAACATCTATAAATATGGAGCTTTATGTGAACTTAGATTCCTCACTGTCTAGAAGTTGAGATCTGTGTTTGTGATTTGGCAAGATGGGGTCCATGTTACTTCACCCCCRAACATTGGGGAGAGATCAGATGAGAGAGGCTCACAGGCAGCCTGTGGAGAACAGGAGCCGTGTTAGTGATCCTGTGCATGAAAGGGTCACACAGCCCTAATTGTCACCAAGCCAAATAGAAGCAGCAGCCCTGGTGGCTCCCCAGTCTGTGTGGGATGCGCTGCAGGAGCCCTTAGAAGTGAAGCCAATTGTTTGGTTGGTGGTTTCATTTGGGCTTCTCTCCTGGATCCTCTCAATGGTGCTTTGTGTCCTGTATACTCTAGACTAGCCCTTGTCTGTTGTTAGCCACAGCATAGGGTTAGGATCCCGAAAGTGAGTCCTACCTAGGGTGTGGGAAGCTGATGGAACAACTGGAAGCTTTGTGTGGATAATGCAGTTATTATTCTTCCTGGAACCCTCATATACATTTATACAAGTCTGTTCAGTGCAGATTTAGCTATGAACTGCTTGGCCTTGAGATGCTGGCTCTTGGGGTGACAAGGCAGAGCCTCCCGTCTCTCTCTGACCCACCAGCCTGTCTGTGGAGGGTGTTGTTTTCTGTGCAGTGCTATCAACCTGTGCCGAGCACAGCTACCTGCCTGTCTCTTTTGCTCAGTCCTGGTAGGGCTGCCTCTCCCTGCCACCACGCTTCTCCACTCTCCTCCCAGGAGAGACTCTTGGGGCCCCACTGCTGAAGTGTGGTGTCCCTGTTGCTGATGGGAAGCACTGGGCTCTCCACAGAAGTGATGACAGCCGCCAGCCAGTGGGGAGGGAACATGGGCCAGTGGGAGGCCACTTATCACTCAGGCCAGGGGGAGGGGTGGTTGAGAGCAGGGACAATCCTATGTCTTAGTGCCCTGAGGTTCTCATCACTGGAAGCGCCTGAGCCATCTCCTATCTTAGGTTCAAAGAGATGAGAAAATGTGTAATAGAGTTTGAGACATTCATCCAAAGTGGGAAGTGTGTAGTTTCAGGTTTATTGCAATAAACCCAGAGCTTTTAGAAAACTCGCAGACTATCTCTAYGGATTTTAGAGAGCACAGGGCTTCACTTAGGAAAGCTTTCCTTTGCACCAGTGTCTGGGGCCATTTGCTTCTTGCCTATTTCCTGTCTAGAGACCAGCCCTTCAAAATCAGTTCTGTAGTTCCTGCATCTCCCCAGCCCTCCTCCTTCACTTCTTCAGTGGAGAATCGGGAAGGAAGGTGCCAGGCAGAGGAACACTCAGAGCAGCTGCACCTGACTGACCTGCCTCACGGCTGCTGAGGCCCTTGGCTGTCTGCCACTCACAGATTGTGTCAGATGATGGCTCGGTAGTTTCTGGGCAGCCTGAAACCCAGCACGAGCCCCTCCGATGCTTGGGTTATCTCTGTCTTGAGCATTCCACAGCCATGACAAGTCAGTCCTGGCTCCCACGATGTCCCGGCTAAATTGAGTTACTGTTTCCATGTCCATGTTTGATGTGAATCAGTCCAAACAGAAATGACCAGAGATGCTTAGCTGGTGACCTCATGCTGTGGGAATTGCCAGAGGAACTCTGTTTTCAAACTCCAGTTTGCTCTCAAGTGTGAGAGACTGCTGTGGCCAGAGCCTCCTGCTCTGAACAGAAGGGAATGGAGGCCCTTCTGTCCAGGTCTGCTCTTGTGGGTGCAAACGTACTGATCCTGTCAGCGAGGCTTCCACAGGTGTCTCTTGCCACTCCCTTTGCAGTTTCCTGCCCAGGACTTACCGACAAATCCCATGATGCTTTTTTGATAAGAGACTATTTCCCCCAAATTGTGGGCTTCATGAGGGCAGAAGTCCCTCCCTTCTCTCCCCCACCCCCACCCCCGTTTCTCTTTCTTTCTGTCTTTTACCTGGTCACTCCTCATGTGACCGCCTGGTGTGGCATTGCCAGAAGGATCTCTGTGTACTGAAGGAGATGCTGTCTGTCTCTGCTGTCATGGTCACCACTAGCCACATGTGGAAACTGACTACTTGAGGAGCGACTTGCACAATTGCATCTTTGTCTTATTTTAGCGTAATTTATTTAAGTTTAAATATCTATTGGTAACTATTGTCCACTAAATTGGACTGTGCTTTTCTATTGCAGGGCTTGTCACATAGGTGTAGAGAAGTAGGCAAGTAGATTTAAAGAAAAGCTATGTTGTTCTTCGGACAGGGCAGTGTTCATTCTGTAGAATTATTTAGGGGGAATACTTGTTGTCAGAGGCAGGAAGAG